CGCCCCATCCCACCCCCCCCCCCCCCCAGCGGCGCCCCTGCAAACATGTATATTTATTACAACTTTAGTTGAACTTAAGCACTGCTTTGGCACAACTAAAATGCATTTAGTACAAAATTAGTTGTTCCAATCAGACTTTACGTATACCGATTTATAGTGTGCCACAAATAAATTTAGTTATACTAAAGTACATACGAATAAATTGTGCTTAAGTATACTTTTTTTTTTCACTAGGGAGTACAAGCTTAATTTGTAAGTTGCTTTGGATACAGGTGTGCAGAGTCTGTTTAAACTGAACACATATGCTGTTTTCACTACCTCCTTCCACCGCTGCTCAGATATGTTTATCTTCTATCACTATTTGCACCCATGTGAATAAGATGCTATTTAGTGGTATTTAAAGTGGTGCAAACAGTGGCAATAGATAGACACTAAAGATAAAGTTAAAGTTGCAATAACCAAAAATGTCTATTAAATTAAATGTAAATGTATGTCTTAATTTGGGCCCTGACTTGTTTAAAGCTAGTCACAGTTTGCTAATGCTTGACCTGACATTTTTTAAAAAGAGGCAATGTTATATTAGAAAAAAAATACATAAATCACCAAGGATATCTCAGATATCCCCAAACGACATCTGTGGATGTGCATAATTTTTCATGAGATACTGGAATATGACAAATGTGTTGGAATGTTACATCAGCGGGGTAAATATTTCAATATTACTGGAGCTAAACCTAAAAAGGTCCCACTAACCTTTGTCTCAGCCTGAGAAAATGCCCAGAAGCTAGCAACTGACTTCAGCACTTTAGTTGGGCATTTCTGAGGAAAAATATTGATAGATTAGTTGATGAAATGTTTGTGAGGCTTATGGCAGTGTGCCTTAATATTAGAGTTGAAAAAAGTGGGCCCCACTTTATATTAAGTGGCCTTAACTACTATGTACTTACATCAAAAATTAAGTACAATGTACTTATTGTGTTCATATTGTATTGCAAAACACTTTTGCTGCTATTGAGGTGGGATACGGGTAAGGTTAGGGACAGGTTTGGTGGTATGGGTAGGTTTAAGGGTGGGTTAAGGTGTAAGGGATGGATCAACAGTGTAATTATAAATGCAATTACAGAAATTAATTACAGATGTAATTACATGCAGGTATTTTTAAAGTATAAGTACAATGTAAAAACATGTACACAATAAGTGCATTGTACCAAATTATTAATTTAAATGTAAGTACATAGTTGTTAAGGCCACTTAATATAAAGTGGGTCCAAAAAGTGTTTTGAAGAGCCACCACATTCCAAATTTGAACATTAACTTACTCATTAACTAATGCTTTCTAACAATGTATTTTTAATAAACTTGGTAAGTAATGCGACTGATTTATACTTTTATATATTTTCATTATTCTTGTTATAGTATCAGTATGTTCTATCTTAAATTTGTTTTTTAATCAGTATTTATTTATTTATGCATATCTTTTCTCTTTAGGACCATGTTTATGAGTTGCTCAACACAATAGATGCCAGCCAGTGCTACTTTAACATAGTAAGTATGACTCTTGAAGACAAGATAGAAAATCAAAAGAGGCAGGAGATGCTTTTACATGAATCTGTGGTCATAATCCATTTCAGGCTGTAAATTTTGACTTCACCAAGAACTACCTGGATCTTATCGTCACCCACGCCTCAGTCATTTATATGTTGTCTCGCATCGATGACAAGAAGGCAATTGTCGGAATGTATAACTGTGCATATGAGTTCTCAAATGGAAACAGGTAACACACCATGTGACCACATTTTTTGACACAGTCACAGTGCTTTTGGACAGTTGTATGTACAAACATTCTCATAACAGTTCATAAGTATTTTACAGTTTGGTGGCAAACAAACTCACACAATTTCATATCATTTTCCTGTTTGGCACATTTGTAAATCTCATTCATTTGTTTTTGTACAATCTGCTCTAAGGGCATCTGAATCTCTAAGGGTTAAGTTTGGTGGTGGACCTTCATGGTGACTTTTTCCTACAAATCATATGTTTTCATATAAAATCGGTTTAAATCTGTATGTATATATATATATATATATATATATATATATATATGTGTGTGTGTG